AAGTTTTCAATTAAAATGCGCATTAAATTAAAATGTGCATGTATGCAAATGCGTAGTGCTGCATTTATGTTAGGTAAAAAAAATCTTATACGCACGCACAGGTACGCATGAATTAGCATTTGATCATGCACTTAGTGGTGCAGTCGTGTACAATACCTACATACATACATATATATGTGCGATTGTAAATGAAAAGCTGTTTTTGTTAAACAAAATATTACATTTTTAATATCAAGCAATAAATTTTTGAATATACAGCAAATTTTGCCCAGAATTTGTAAATTAGTGAACTTCTTATTTATTTGTTTTAGAAGAATTTCATGTATTAATACATATATAACAACTCGCTAGCTTGAACGCAACTAATTTTTTTGTTATTATTGCATTGACTACAAAAATAGTTCGGCGTCAAAATACTTATATAGATAACTCATTCTTTCGACCTCCCCTTTTAACCGGTATGCATTATTCTTGCCTACTCAACGTTCGTACAAATAAGAACACATGAGCATTTTTTGACATCAAGACTTTAATAGAAAAACATTTCTTCACTAGGAAAAAAAAGATTGAATTTTTACCCGACAGATGGCTCATTACTTAAAATGTTTTAGCTTCAACAGATGTAGTAAAAGTAATAAAGTTTTTTATGGCAAAAACAAGCGGGACCAAGTGATATATAAAGTGAGGAATCAATCGTAACAACATATGTATGTATGTATGTATGTATAGGGAGAACATCTATAGAAAGATACACAAAATATTTCAAACTATGAGTGAGGATATTATCTGTAGAAGCCGAAAATACTTAAGACCAACAGATGGCGCTGTATACAATATTTTCCTAAGAAGCAATTATTTATAGTTTCTAAATCATTAGTTGTTGCAAAAATGATAAAGTTGATTTTTTTTTCTTTCTTTTTTCTCAAAAATTCAATTTTATAATGTTATTAACAAATATAGGACAGAGTGAAGAAGACTAGAGGTGCAGTGATCTTTTTCACCGATGGATCGAAGTTAAGAGGGAGAGAAGAAGGCGGAATCTTCTGTCAAGAGTTTTCCATCAACTTTAGTTTCAGGCTACCACCACACCACAGCAACGCCTGTCAAGCAGAGGTGGCTGCCTTCAAGGTAGCGGTAGATAAACTGCTCCGAAGTGCAGCCTCTTTCGGAGAGGTGTGCATTCACCCCGATAGCTCAGCGTCTATGCTGGCTGTGAGCTCGCTCTCGGTACTCCGTTACTAGGGAGGGCACCTTACCCATATTTCATGTGATTGAAAGTGAGGTTGTCTGATATTATCTGGCGTTACATCGCTAGACAAATGGTCAACAACCAGAACTTGCGCGAGATCCTACTGTCCCAAAGTGTAACGTAAGTGGATTTGCACTTAGCAATGTCAACCTCACAGCAATTGTAGGTTTTCCGTCACTGGACACTGTCCAATTGGAAACACACGGTGCGACTCAATATTTTGTCGAATGCTCTTTGCTAAAGCTGTTGGAGATGCTTCCATCCCATCTGTCATTTTCTTACAAGCTGAGATAAAAAAATATATCGCTAGACACACCTTTGGAGAATTTAGCGAAGTAGCTGGGATTAATATTAGCTGCCTTAATATATTTGTGTCGAGCTCAAAACGCTTCGTCGGTCTATGAAGTGATGCACTTAAAGGGATTTTGGCGTAACACAAAGCACAAATATCTGTCTAAGTGGTTTTAGATCAACCGTATGACCTAACCTAACCTGCAAGATATACTTGACCTTTAACTATATTTTATTTTTTGTACGGTTATGGTTGAGAAATTAAAAAACTTTAATTTAAGTTCACTTAAATTTATACAATACATTATAGTATTGCAATCGCTTCATTATTTTACAATATTTTTTAAAATAAATATTAAATACAAATAATTATAACCAGAAAAAAACATTAAGTTTTACCATAGAAAATTTTATTTCAAGTAATTTCAAGCAGTTCCCGCCAAATAGCCAAGTGTACCCACTCGCTTTCACAATATTTGCGCTCAAATAAATATGCATTCATTTCACAACAATTTATTATTGACTTTCTCTTACGTGATTTTGCCTACAACAGCCACAGTATATTACACCAAAACTACACTTTCCAGTTATCTCCGCTAACTTTCTTGTTACTGACTTTCCTGCATTTCCGAACAACTACCGGACATGAAGTAATATCCTACAAAGTATTTGCACGAATAGATCTATAAGTGGTAAGTACAACTGCACATATATACAAAGCGTCACCACCACCTACGACTACAAAAAATATTTGTAGTAGCACGTGTGATGACGACATTCATTGTTGTCGGCCAAAACGTTGGAAAAATATATGCGCAATTTTATTTCAACGACAAATGAATATGAATTCGATTGTGATTGCTGGCCGACAATGGACACTGTCACACACACACACACACACACACACATGCATACACAAGTGACGTGCCGTAATGTTGAACTCGAAACTTTGGCTTTTAACTGCGAATGCATGCCTGAGTTTGTGCGTTAGTGTGCGCAAGCATACACATACAAAAGCAATCGCATTAACACTCACAAATACACATTGCATGCAAATATAGTGCTTACGTGCATAAGCACACACATACACATACCTATATAGAGAATATGCATGTGTGATTTGTGAACGTGCGCTCGTACTTATGCCATCACTTGAAAGTGAAATGAAGCTGAAAATGATTTTCCATTCGAAATGCATTTGAAAGCGCACTCTACTTGCCATGCACTCAGCCACACACAAGCACGCAGTCGCACAAACACACATATACACACAAATACTTGTATAAAGGGGCGCAACTATATTTACTGCCGCATATACCTATGGCGATCATGTATGTATGCCGAAAAATCCAAATACGTGCTAGCATTTTTTATGTAGTTGTTGTTGTTGTTGCACACTTTTACCTCAATCTTTGGGTGGGCGGAAATTTCATAGGAAAAATGTTGCCAGCACAAATGCCCCTTCATATGCTGTTACTCACACTCATAACCCAACTAATGTATGATGTTGCATATATATGTGTATGCATGTGTGCATGTATAATTTCCACAAGCATATGTATGTGTCTGTGTGTCGGTATACTCGTGCGTGCGCCATTTGGCTTTTGTAGTCTCCATCAGGCGGCGACTTATTGAGTTTTACTCTTTGTTGCTGCATAAGTTGCATGTAGCAAGCAAAAATCGTATGTTGCATGCATGCCAAATTTCGACCAAAGCAGATTTCAATTGCAGTAACACAAAGGCGCTTAACGGTGAGTACCCATACTACCAAGCGTCCGAGAGTGTATGTTGCATAGAGGCATTTGCATTTAACTGCATGTATGCGTGTAAATGTTTGTGTGTGTGCTGGCAAAAAGCATTCGTTATTTGCATGCACAACGCTTACGGGAAATTGTGGTATACTTTATTGTAGGCGATTGCAAAAATTTATTAGACACCTTCGGCTGTGTGGATGCAACAAGCTACCATAGGATTTGTAAGTAATTTTTCTAACGGCTTATAAAGTTTTTGGCTAGTTGGAATTTTTCGGTTGTGGCTTCATGCTTTACCGTTTGCCAGATAAATTGGGGTTTTAAGTAATTCTTATGCGTTTTGTGCTTGCTCAGAAAGTTGTGGGGCAAGAAAATTTTAGATAACTAGTACTTTTTGGGCGATATGTTATGTTACGTCAAGTTATGTTATGTCATGATATGATTTGTGTTGTTTATGCTTTATTAAGGTAGGTTATGTTATGCTGTGTTTTGCTATATTAAGTTAAGTTATGTTATTTTGTGTTATGTTATGTTTTGCTATGTTGTGTTCCTATTTTTTCAACTTTTTGTTGTTCATAATTATTTATTAAGTCATGCTATGGTCTGTTATTTTATGTTACCTTATGTTATGATATGAAAAGTTCTCTTTTTAACTAACTTTTTTTCGCTATTACCTTAACTATATATATAATGTTATATTATGCTATGTAATATTATATTTTTTAAATAATTTAACCTTGTATTGGTTCTTCCATATTAATTAATGCTATGTTATGTTATGTTACGGTATGTAAAGTTATGTTATCTCTTGCTGTGTTGTTTAAAATTTTTCCTTATTTTACTCTTTGTTGCTTATAGTATACTTATGTATGTTACGGTATGTTCTTTATGTCATGTTATACCGTATGAATTGTCTAATAATTTCACATGTTGATGCTTATATATATATGTTACTATTGGTATGGCTAAGTTTATCAAATTTCTTCCGGTTCTATTTTATTTCATTATAAATAATTTATTTTATTTTTTATTAAATTTAATTTATTTTAATTTAATTTTATGTTATTTTATTTAGTTTTATTTTATTTTTTTTTTATTTTTTTGTATTTTATTTTATTTATTTTTTTTTTAATTTAATTTAATTTTATTTTATTTAATATTATTTAATTTAATTTAATTTTATTTTATTTTATTTTATTTAATTTAATTTAATTTTATTTAATTTAATTTAATTTAATTTAATTTAATTTAATTTAATTTTATTTTATTTTATTTTATTTTATTTTATTTTATTTTATTATATTGTCTTTAATTTCATTTTTTTTTTATTTAATTTAATTTAATTTTATTTTATTTTATTTTATTTTATTTAATTTACTATAATTTAATTTTATTTAATTTAATTTTATTTTATTTTATTTTGTTTTATTAAATTTTTTTTTATTTTATTTAATTTAGTTTTGTTTAATTAAATTTTATTTTATTTTATTTAATTTAATTTAATTTAATTTTATTTTGTTTTATTTTATTTTCTTTTTTTTTAATATTATTTTTTTTGAATTTAATTAAATTAAATTTTATTTTATTCAATTTACTATATTTAATTTAATTTTATTTGTTGTTTTTTCACATAGGGTTATTTATTGTGGATACTCTGCAATAAGAGTAATTTTCGCTACCGTTAGTTATAAATATGCGCAACGACTCACCCGATATAAATGAAATTTCCGACAGCATAATCCATTTCACAGCAAAATATAAATTGATTTTCAAATATCTACCAACGCGATGATGTAATTTGATAGTGACATCGCGCGCGTGATCCATTACGGTGTCTGGCATATAAGAGAATTGCACCGGTTCGCCAGAGAAGTGTCGTCCACCAATACTAAAGAAGACCTTAGCACGCACGAATACCTTTGATGGTGTTAGGAATAAAGTAAAAATTGCATTAAATAATTTTTGGTTTTCTATTTTTATTTAAATGGAATAGAAGTGTTTAATTTTAGGTGATTTAATAAATTTTACTAACAAAATATTTATTTTTGTTTAAATATATGATGTTAAGTAAAACTTTACTTAGTTACTTCGCTTACCTGCACATCCTTAGTGAACATATTATTTGTATGTAATATTATCGCACTGAAATTTCGCACAGTATCGAATTCGAAAATAATTTCAACTGGTTTGCCATTCAAATCGGGCGTATCATTGCGCCAGCCAATCCATTCGTAGCCTGCAAAAAATTCATAAAAAATGGGTAATTTATAATTATAATACAATAATTATATGTATATAATAAATAAAACTAAAAAATGCTATGCAAACTATGCAAAAACAAATTTTTTGGAAAAAGCATTTCAAATTTAATTTTGCACGCGAAAAGAAGATGAATAGACATTCATTAGGTAGGTATGTATGGTATTTTTGAAACCATAGTGACTAAAATCCCTACGCTCTATTCTATCCTTTCTGAACCATCCTATGCTCTTAATGAAGTTCATCACTTCAATAGGCTTTATATTTGTAATTTCCGCCAAGAAATCCTCGACCGATAGTTGCGAATATTTTCCTATACAAAACCTATCATTCGCATAGAAGATGTTCTGCAGCCTCTTATTTTGCTACCTATTGGAAACTTCTCAAAACAATCGTTGTATGGTATTCACAGACTGCTAGCATATCTGACTTATTAGCACTCCTACTAGAGTTCTTATGTCATTCCTTTTGAATTGCAATAGTCGGCACGTGCGCCCATATTACATTCACGACATGTTTGTCTGGTTGTTGAACAAGTCAGTGATTGTTTTCACCAAGACTTAGCTATAACTATAAAATGTTTGTCGCTTAAATATCTGCAAGTTGCTAGAGGTATATACAATATAACCTTTTTTAGCGGATTCTTATTGTAAGGTGGTGTTTGTTCTGGTTAGTTCATCTGCTATTACTATGTCCTGGAACCCATTGCAAGTTTATCTTAAAATATGATCGTTATCATCCAAACAAACCTAAGAGACTTTAGTAATTTCAAAACCGCTTGACTGATATAAATATATTTCTTGTTGTAAGCACCGTCTTTGTCAGAGAAAGCGGCTTTCTAAAATTGTTGTGATCTTCGCTTGGAAGACACTACAGTGAACTGGTTAGTCGGTAGGCGATCCTGGTATCTAATTATGCTGAAAAGACACCACCTTCCACTCGATTATTCTGTTTGGATGCGTCTGTAAAACTAATTATTTCTGTGCCTTTGTCCACTTCACTCCTATTAAACACTCTTCCGGCGGGAAAGGCAATATTTGGGACCGAATAAAAGTAACTTTCTAAAGCGTAACGAAAATCAGTGGTATTGGTTAGAAACGGGAACTTGCTAAGTATATTAAAATGTCTCTTATTTCAGCTGACTTATAGGGAGGATTCTCTCTTTCTGTAACACCAAATTTATACATAAATAAAACAATCTAAATATATAAATTTTCTGCCTGCCATTACTTTTCAAAATTTTACATTTTTTTCTTAAAGCTTTTAAATATACAAAACTCAGCAATTCTGTGTTCTATAAATTGTAAATAACTTTCTTGAAAGCTATCTAACAATTCATTTACCTAAATTTCGAGCTACAGAAATTATTTAATACTCGACTTGCCTTCCTTCCAAAGGATTTCGTGCGTGAAATCTGCTAGTCTCCAAGTATTAATATATAAGAAACTTATTATTGCTTTTGTTTTTTGTTTTCATAAAACAAGAAAGGAGGTTAAATATTTTTACAACAAACGGCACAATGTACCAACCACCCGCTGGCGGCAATGACTTTCAATGAAATCATAAATTCCAGCACATGTTAAATATTATGGGTTAAATGCCATTGCAGCACCACACAACCCCAACCATCGATTGCGCTGTCAGTTAGCTTACCTGTGTTACGCACCGTTGCTTGCTCGCTCATTAGACGCATCGTAAAATTCAAAACAAAAACAATAATGCATAGGTAAAAGCAAAGTGGGGCGATAGTAGGGGCTGAGCAGCTGAAAATAATTTGCCTTCCGCCAAGTTAACGCCGGCAGTAGGGGAACCTTAAATAACTGGAGCAAACAAAGGCTATGGCAACAAACTGTCAAACGAAAATAAATGAAGTTTTTGTTAGCCAAACGGTTGGCTGGGGGACGTTGAGCAGTTGCACACGAAAATAGCTAACACACGCCCACCAGTAAACGACGAGTGCGTCACGACATTTAAACCTTTCTTGCTAGCTTGTTTACACAGAGGGGTGGTGTAACGACGAGCTTTGTTTAACTAGGCAGAGGCAGCAACTTAAATTTTGGACGACAAAAGTCTATTGTTGCCGTGAGCAAACCTCACCTGTATTACTGTTAGGACTTGCCTTAAGCGTAAACAGTAGAGAAATCAGTGAAGACTCGAGCCACGAACAAGGCAAGCACGCTATATACCGAAATAGTTGGGGGAAAGCAAAAATTTTCGAAAAATGTGGCAGCATAACAAATACGTAATAAAAACGTTGCATACTTTTACACGGCAAGGCATAAAAAAACGAACGCACAGCGTTGCATTCAACCTAAAGTAACTGAATGTCGAAGGGGCGCTGATGGCGGGGTTTGCTCGAAAATGCTCAGCACTTGCCACTGAGCGCATAAAAATTATAGCGGGATTGCAGCTATAGAAAATCTTTCAAACCACCTCCACTAGAGAGAACGCGCCTCGAAATCAGCACACCCTCAAACCCTTCGCAAAATATAAATAAACAAACTATTCGTCTGCTTGCATGAAACAATAATAACTTGCGAGTCGTAGAACAACTTTGCGCATAAGAGACTGGGAGTAACGAGGAAATATTTTTTGTAAGCCCACAAAAGTGCGCGCACACCAACAAATGTTGAAATATTTACAGTGAGTAACACAAGTGAGGTTGGAAAGTCAGAAAAAAGAAATAGAATTTTTCGGGGAACCACACTGGGGAAATGCCGCGTTTTTGCTAATAAAATGGGGAGCAAAAAAAAAAATCAGAAAACAAATAATCATGTCACAATAACAGTAAAATCGTGAGGACCTCCGTCTACAGCACATCTCTCATATATAAGAGTAAAAATAGTCACATCCAAACTATTGATGAACGCGTCTTGGCTTACAGCTTGGCGCGCCAAATAAAGCAGAAAAAACTCGTAAAGAAAACAATAATAATAATAACAACGACTTGGCGTCTCATTGAAAATCAATAGTGACGAATTCAATATTCAGCCACAGTATGCATGCCATGTGGCTTCCCACAGCCACAGCTTTTGCTTAAGCGTCTTTTGTTCCATTCATATTGGACTGACTGTGCCTGCGGCTTGCGGCAGTTGGGCACATAGCTGAATTGGCATTTAGCTTTCCGGTAGCGGTAGTAGTGGAGCCGTCTCTCATTGATTGTTGTCGCATAAAATGGACAAATTATGCGAGCATACAGCCGTCTTCAATGCCCCACCCCGTCCTCACCATTATGGTGCTGTATTGGCGCAAGAATGCTTGTTCGCCAAAAATTCTTAACTTCATTGTGTTCATTGAAGCCAACACTGCTACCACTGCTGCCACTGCTGCATACTAGTTGTGGGTTCGTACCGACTATGCTCTTAAAATTAAAGCGTAGATCTATTGAATTAAATTTTTGCTGCAAATTGAGCAGTTACGGAACTTTTTTTTGTGGAATTTTTGTTTTGTTGGCCTCTAAGTTATAAGAAAAGTCATAGTCAGTGGACCGATTTCACTCTCTAAGAAAGTTTAATTAAGCGCTTATAAGATATTCTCTTAATTGTAAAGAATTATTCACTTTTCGTTCATCTCAACAAGCTTATTTTTGGCGCTTTAAAATATATTCCACACGACTTAGTTAGAAACCGTATCTCTACTACACCAAGTCCTCGGCAAACTCATGAACGTGGCCTTATATTATTTCTACCGGACCTTAAGCTATACATGACGGCTATGAGTGCTCTTCAATCGAGAATTCTATACACGAATCAGGAGTTCGTCTCACCTGAACCTGTACGCCAAATTTATGGTGACGTGCATTGAACGCAGTTGAAGATCTGCCAGGGTTTTAACGAGACGCAAATAAGTACAGCGTTAGCCTGTCAGCCATTTCGGTGATATGTCACTTTTACCTATTGAGGCAACAAAAATCAGCTCTCACCAGGACTTTGTCTGACTAATCCATTCCAAGTTTTCAATATACCATAAATTAGAGCCTTACTGACCGCGATTTTGATAGGCTCTTGTCAAAAGTTTTCGCCGACGTCTATGCATATTGCAAGCCGACCGCTGGATTGATCCCTCGTCGCTTTGTTGCCTTCCTCTGAGTAAGTTCTCCCTTGATGCAACCTCCGTGAGGGTTGTGGACGCTTAATTACAGGCGGCATTCATTGTAGTACCACTGAGAAGCTTATTAAAGAGTTTATATTCTTTCCGTATAAGGCGAAAGTTCTGCTGGTGCCTCCAATATTTCTCATAAACTTTGACGGAAATCCAGCGTCATTTAGCTGTGAGCCGGCGATTAATGTTCCCATAAGAACCTGTAATATTTACAAATCTGACGATTCATTCTAGTATACTGAGCTGCGGACGTTTAGTTGTTAAGCGAAGATGAATGTGCTCAAAAGAACCTTTAGTTTTCAAGAATCCTTTTCAAGCACATTGTAGTATCCGTGCGGTGGTTTAATTATGATCTGGAGATACATGTTCTCAAAACATATCTCTTTTTCGAAAATCCAACGGCACATTCTAGGAGTTTGCCTAATTCAAATTCTTCAATTTATTCTAGTATGATACAGTGTCCAATGAGGTATTGAGTTAGGCTTTGAGCATAGAAATTTAAGACAACGTGACCTGATACCTTACTTGGATATTAACTGACCGCGTCTCAAGTTTAAAGAACTTGGTCGAAATAGTTCACACCGCAGTGCTCTCAACCCTTAGAAAGATGAATGTCGAGCAAAAATATTGTTCGAATATTTCCTTTTTTCCTACCAGACTAGTTCGCTGTAGTTCAAAATGCTGGATTGAGGTCATCTTAGCAAAAACTAAGACTTTAGACTTGGTCAAGCCAATAGAAATCCATCTTTTTTATCAATAATAAAATTGTCGAAATTGGAGACTAATATTGGATTTTCATAGGATTTTTGGATTGGGATCTTCATAGCTTCAATGGTTTTGACCATATTTTTTTGCTTTTGATACTATCATAAAAATAGATAAACCATGACTGCAGCTTCGTCTCTAAAACACATACCTACATAAAAAAATTAACAAAGAAGCTTTCGTTCCGACTTTCTGTTAAATTTTCGCAAACTTTAAACAACTTTATTTGCAATAAAGTTAGCAAAGAAAACAAGGAAGTTTATTTAAGCTTTTACTCACTCACTCTCACCGCTCACGGCAGCGCGGCAAATCGCCTTAGCAATCAAATGAGCAGAGTTTATGAGTTCCTTTTTGGCACGAGGAAGTAGTACCTAACTGTATTTGGTCTACCAGCCGTCGTCTCAATTTGTACAGACGGCTGTAAGTTAGTATTATTGTCTGTCTGCTGGTGTTTCGTCGTTTGAGTGTATGCGTGTGTGCGTGTGACTGTCTGCACGGTAAACTAATAGTCGGTGGCTAACATCTCTCTACATTATTATTGCCAATAAGTAGTAGAGTTGCGTTGAAGCCAACGACCACGAAGCGACAACGCATTCTGTAAATACTTATGTATGTATGTGTGTGTGTAACATGGCAAAATGGTTGCCCCCAACTGCTGCCGCATCCTGCAGTAATGAGAAACTTTTCTACTTAAAATGTAAAGTTTTCAATAATTTCGATTATTGGCGACTGGCCAAGGGAATTCATTTATTTGCATGCGGATGTGTACAAAGCTATATCTAGATAAATATATATGTATATATGTCGGTATATGAATGACTTCTATACAAACATATGTATGTATTGGTATGCGAACGAAATTTATTTTCAAATAGTTCGTTTATTTCTGCTACTTTTATGTGATTTCGGCGACGATTGTGTTTGTGTGAGTTTGACAAACGAATAGTAAACAACTTATCACTGGGGGACTTTAATTTCGGTTAAGGGCGCTTGGATACACGCATTGGTGGAAGAGACGAACTGTTGGCGGCTCACAGCAAGTTGCAAGCGTTTTAAATGTGGCGTTGTGGAGAAAGTGGTAGTTTTTTTAATATGTTTGTATGTGTATGAGATATTGTTGTTGTTGTACGCTTACAATTGAATGCCAGCTTTGCCATAAATTATCAAATAAGCATATTATGTACATTTTACAGTACTATTTTTATTTCATTTAGTGCCGCTTTTTTGCTCTGGACTCCTTGCAAATTATCCTGTCGCAAAAATGAAATTCTATATATAGATATATGTATAATATGCTCTCTGAACTTTCAACTTTTCCCAAAAAAAAACTATCGCGTTTACACAAGGTTTTTGATTTACAACTTAAAGCATGTCTAAATCATGTTTCTTTTCCCATAAGAAGTATTCAATGTGGGATTTTTTTATATCGATGGCCCTGAAGTGTCAGTTTTGGATTTTTAATGCATTAGAAGAAATTATTGCAAAGTGAAAATAAAAATTTATTCTTATAGGGAATTCAACAATCTATAAAACTAGAAAAAAACGTTAACTCAGGTTGCAATGAAGCTATAATACCCTTCCCAAATACAAAATATTACTTCTTGTATGGATTTTATCGGTCAGTTTCTATGGCAGCTATATGCTATAGGTGTTCGAGTTGAACAATTTCTACGGAGATTATACCGTTGCTTTCGATAATAATTAATGCCAAATTTTATGAAGATATCTCGCCAAATAAAAAACTTTTCATGCAACTGAACTTGACTCTGATCGATCAGTTTGTATGGCAGTTATATGCCGTGGTGACCCGGTCTTGAGAATTTTTTCGGCAGTTATGCTGTTCTTTTTTTGAAAAATATTCCGTGCAGAATTTCATGAAGATATCTTGTTAATAAAAAAAGTTTCCTATACAAGGGCTTGATCTCGATCGTTCAGTTTGTATAGCAGCTATCGGCTCCGACAAATGCGTTGCTTCTAAGAAAGAAAAGAACGTGTGCGAAATTTCAAAAAATAAAGACACTGAAAAGTTATTCCAGTTCAAAGTCCAACCTTAAGTGGTGAAAATTATTTTTTCTTACAATTTTTGTTACATTCTTTCACAAAATAATGCCACAAATCATCAACAAAGTAAAACAAAAATTCCTGTGTTATTTGTATGAAAACTCAAAGAACACACAAGTTTTAAAATCTAACAAACTAAAAGTTAAAAAAAAGTTGAAAAATTAAAAAAAAAAAACAATTGGTCCACCCTAATGCATATGTATTATATTATTGGGTCTCTGTGTTCGTAAATGTCTCTTGGCACGCGTTTGTTTTGCTTCGCATTACTAAAAAAATTATTTGTTGTGTTCATCGATGAGGAAATTATTTATTTGTTTGGTGAAAGTTTCTAATTTAGCCGACAATTCATTGTCCTCGCTCGGTGCTCGCGCCTACTCCGAAATGCCAAAGGATGAAATATGAACGCCATACTGCTACTAACTCACTTGCATTGCGCTGATGGCGCATACGTTTGGTAGCAATGCATTCTAAATGTGCTTTAGCAGAACAAATGGCAGTCAGTGGCGGGTTAAATGTCGCAATATATACATACATCATATCCGGCGCAAATACCATTACAGCAAGCGATTGAGCGATAGTGTGCGCGCTTGTGTATATAATCGTACGAAATTTCGCCTTGATACTGTGTAGCACACATACACACACATATATAAGTGAGTTTGTCAAAGGGCAGGAAGAAGAATTGCAAATGGACACGAAAAAGTTCCATTAAACTTATGCTAAACTTTTGTAATTATTTGATACTAATCAGTTTTAATGAAGTATGGGTATATGTTTGTATAAGTGTGTGTGTGTGTGTATACATGCTTTTCATAACTGTTAAACGTCTGCGCTCCCTAAAACCATTTGCATTTAACTGCTTTTGCCTGCAATGGATATCCTTTCAATTTTCTTCAACCTTCAGAGTTTCTTAAACAAACATCTACACACATATACCTACATATATACAGACACACAAATACAGGTTTAGATATGGACGCACACATATAGCATAACTATAAGCAACCAAATTGATGAATTTGTGCGCAAAAAGTGAAATGTGCGCTAAGCGCCGGCAACATTTTCGAAAGCTATGAAGAAAGCTACGAAGAAATCTGCAATGCATCAGCAGTTTTTCGTCTTACTTGCACACATACACCCATAAATAAAAACATATGCATGTATATCACCCATTTATTTAATGTAAGTCGCATAGCCGTTGCTTATTTAGCATTTGTGCGCTTTAGTTTGCTGGTGTTGCTTTTATTATTACATTTGGGTTAAGGTAAGCAGTTTCCATCAAACTTTGTTCAATTTCATTTATTCAAGTATTTCAGCTTTTATGCACTTGAATTAAGTTAATTTGAGTTTTGTGTGCCAACTTTGCGGTGCGGTGCAGGGAAATTTGCAGATTAAACTGAGAAAGTAAGATTGCTTACAGCTCATGTAGTAAGGCAATTTCTTTAATAAAAGTTTGGTGCATACATACATATATAGTTATGTAAAAAGTTACACCTAAAGTTAAAACATACAAAAATTTTAAAAAATCCCTTAAGGGAAATTTGATCAAATGTTGTAATATTAAATATTTTAAATTGCATAAGTTACTGACATACTTTTAAATAACAAAATCTAAATTTCCCCAAGAGGGAAATTTTTAAAATATAAAATTTAATCAAATTTTATTATTTCAAGCTCCATAATGATAAACTTAAAACGCCAAAAAAGCGAGATAGAGAGATAAGATAAGATAGATAAGCCGAATTTGCTAAATTAAAGGACATTAAATAAAAGTATGAGTAATTTAAGTTTACACATCGTATGTATACAAATATAAAATACTTTTTCAAAGCTTGTAACAAAATTGCCAATAGGTTAAAAATTACCACTTATTAACGGTAATTTGGGAACATTTTAGGAAATTTTATTTGGTTTAAGTGTATTAGTCCTTACAGCTTATTTTTAATGATAAACACATATTTCCTAAAAAGGGATATTTTTTAAAAGTATTATTGATATTCAAGCAATTCATATGCTATCAAATCTCCTAAAATTATTTGACTAAAAAACATTCCAGAAAGGTATATTTTTTAAAGTTATTATTTCTAAGCAATGTATGCTATTAAATCTACTAAGGGCTATCAAAAATACATAAAATTGGTATTAAATTTTCTTTCTTCTGTTTTACTTAGACCTTTCCTTTTCTAAAATACCAACTCACCTTTGCCAAAACCATGTATATCAGTGCGGAAATTATCTTTGCCCTTTTGACCATCCACCAGTTGACCCAATCCATCAACAAAACGATCACCTTGCTCATAGCCATCATAAGTCTTGTCTGACAAATCGACTTCCATGCCACGTTGCACGCCTTTCGGTATGCTATACGATACGATACCCTCTGCAAAATAGAATAGAAACAAAACGCACATAATTTTAGCACAAGCGTCAACATAAATTAAAATTTAAATGAAAGACATGTGGGTATTTAGCTTTAAGAGAGGCAAATACTTTAATATATAGTGTGGTAAATAAAGTAAGAAATGAGGCGCACATGCAAGTCAACCAAGCAGCAACCAGTCATTTTACATATTTTCGGTCATACTAGTTTATATTGCTGTTTTTGGTTATACCAGTGAGGCATGAGACAAGCGCGTAATAGTAGACATTGGGACATGTGTTTAACACACACACGCACATGCATGTGCGTGGGCGACGCGTTGCTGACGAAGACAAACGACTGATGAGATATTGCTTCCCCTTCTAAAGGATATTTCTTTCCTCACTTTGAATGTGGATATATTCACACGAGCTTGCATATGTGCCTCTTTGTATGCATTTGCAGCTGGGGTTGACTTTCCATAAACCATATTAAATTACTAAAATTTCTGCGTATTTTAAGTTGATAGTTTGGCGGGTATTTTTGTGGAAACACTACTATGGTTGCGGCAGACAGACTATGAGGTGTGGTATGCCTTAATTGTTTGGAGAAAGTTTTAAATAATATAATTTCAGAAGGAATTTAAGAATGTTGTTATGTTCAATAAATGATAAGATATAATTTTGGTACTTGAATTTAAGATAAAGGCTTTTTAGAATAAAGATCTTTAGGTAATTTCTTTTTTATGAGTTACAACATTTTTAGAATATTTGCTTATGATTATTAAGTACACCCAGCATATCAAATTAGTGATCAACTTAAAAATATCCAAAGGGAGATTTTTCAACTGACGTTATTATTATAATATAGGCCTCCAAAGAATGTTTTAAACGCAAAAAAAATCGAAGCCAGAAAAATATATTTTAGGGAAATTTTTCAGTTGAAGCAGTTATCACAATTTAAACATTCCAAAGACAGTTAAGGCGTTTCAAACACGCTAAACAAAATTTCCCAGTTCGGGGAAATTTTCGACTTTGATCAAATTATAGGAAATCTTGCTGATTTCAATACTTTAGCCAGCTCATGCATATGTAAATGTAAACTTATATTTTATAACTAACCATTTAACTATAATTTTATATCTGTAAACAATATAATACTTGTACAAAATAAAACGTAATATTTATTTAACAAAGCCAAAATTATACAAATTTTTGTTTCTGAACCGTCAACAGCAACATGAATTTCCATTTTGTTCATTTCCTTTGTGTGTGTTGGCGGAAAGCACACACGCCACAATAAGGCAATGTGGCATGTCATGCAACACCCACAAACAGCAGTGAAATGTGGGCACTTACACACACTAACAAAGCTATGTGTGTGTATATTTACATTTATACTTTTTTGCGGATTCTTAATGTTGACGTTTTTCACTTTTTGTCGGTTTGACAGTCTTTTGTTGCATAACCGAAAAATATAGCATTCACGCATGTTACAAGGGGTTAAATGGCGTTAAAGTATGAAGAAACGACAACAACTACAAACACCAACAATGAAATGCCACCAACAGGGTAAGCAGTCAAAAGAGAATAACAATTTCATAGTTATGTATAAAACACATACACACATACATATTTAGGCATGCTTGTACGAACACCCAACAACCATAACAATGTTCATGATGACAACGGCATTGCCGACAGGAACAACAAAAGCCGCTCATTTGTTTCGCTGCAGCGCGTCCGCCAACAGCGACAGCAAAGATACGTGGCAGGACAGACATGACAGTACGCCACTACTACAACAACAACAACAACTGTTACAATTACAAAACCAACAACAGCATATCAGCTGTTAGTGACAACAACTACAAGCAGCATGCGAATATTAAAAGAAAGCAACAAAAAGTAGGAAAAAAATTGCTAGGTTTTAAAGGGAGTAGGAAAAATAATGCTGCCATTCTGCATGTTGACACGCAATAAAATCGCATGCTAACATGAAAATGACAGAGCGCGCGCTAAAACAACAGCAATGACCATGGCAGTGTGCTCACGGCAACAATGACAACCAGTAATAATAACTACAAGGCAGCTACAACAACAAATACACACGTATTTGTAAAGACAGTAGACATGTTGTAAACGTAAAGTCGAACGCGTGTTGCCAACTACAGATACATATATACATACTTAAATACTTCTACTACATACATATATCTGTGCAAATACAGCTGTGCTGACAGTATAATATGGAAAGTGAATTTTTGCCATCTACTCGTATAACGAAAGATTCGGTAATGACTACTGTGTAGTTAAATAAATATGGTATAAATTCACGTATGTATGTACATATGTATGAATTAATTGTGGACCTAAATTCTTAAACCATTCGGTGTTGCATTAAATAAATATGAAATTTTCAATTGAAGCAAAAGTATGCAGTTATCTTAAATTAACATTTCTTATAGCAGTAGTTTAAAAATGATTTTTGCAACTTGCTTTACACCCATTTGAGAATTCAAAAATGGTTTTCAGCACTAAAAATATAACATGTGATTAAACTGAAATCAAAAGAGCAAAAAACTATGATTACAAAAAATTACCCTCTAGGGTAATTTATTTTTTAAGCTTTAGCATAACGTAGTACTTTATATTGACGTCAAAAATTCAGAAAACAGTTACAAAAACAAAATATCCCTTTTAGGGAAATTTTATTTTTTGCGGATATAAAGCATAGTTGACCTAATTGTGTATTTTGCGTTGTTTAAAGTTTCATTCAAGTAGTAAAAATCTAAGCAAGATTTTAAATATTTGACATATGTGGTTTAATTATGTATGTACAGGTATATAGCTACTATGTAAATGGTTTATGTGAAAAGTTATAAGTACGAGTATGCATATTATTCAAATAATCAATAGCGCAACATATTTTACAGCTTTTACTTATTTCGTTGGTTGTACTTAAAACCCAGTCACTTTAATTTAAGACCAACACTCGAAAGCTTTCGCTTTCTGCTACATTCAAAATATCCAACAAGCGCATTTGCTGGCTTGCAGCGCAATTTAAATAAATAATATATAAAACATATTATATCCTTGAATATCCTCTCCTTTCAATAGCACAGGATATGTTTACAAGCTGCCAGCCTCAATGCTCATCAGCACTGATGCCGGATTGTAGGAAGTAATGCGCAATGCCGACGTATGCAGTTTAATTTATATGTATGCATGTACTCGTATTTACGAGTATGTATTTTGTATATGTGGGTACATGTGTTGATTTGTATATGAATATATTATCAATGCAACATAAAACATTTAATATTTCACAACGTATAAATCCGCAATAAGTTTTAGTTGTTTAATGTTGCTGCATTTGTGCTTTTATGCATATAATATACATATATATATTTAAATATAATATATATACGTATATGTTTCCGCATTATTTTATGTAGTATGTATGCTTTTAATTCTCGCGGTCAAGTACAGTATGTTTGCAATTTTCATAAATAATTTCCACAGGAAAATCACATAAATAATTCTGACTTCCGTTCATTTAGCATGAATGCCCAATGTGCATATTTATGAGTATATATACATGCATATGTACATATATTATGGATATATATGTATATGCATATGTTTGTGCTACATAAATTCATAAGTAAGTGCGGCAGCGTGCAACACACACAATTGTCCGTGAAGGCATTGCTGATTATAATTTATTTATTCCACGCATTTGCCGCTGATTTTATGACAATGCTTGCAATAATATTTGTGGACTTAATACGCGAGCACACGCATGTACAACATGTATATAAATATATGCTTTTTTGGTTAAATTTATTTTGTGGTACGCAATAAAATTTTAAAATTTGTGAAATAATTATGAAAATTTTATGAATATCATTTTATAGCGGTGCAAAATATGTGTATCGTCAGGGTAATAAAAGTATACAGTAATGATTACAACTAAAGTGGAGTAATTTGGTATTATAATGCACTTTTAGAAAAGTATAAAAATTGAGTCAATAAAATAATTAAAGCAGTTTCTAAACAATGTTTCTGAACAAAGCTATTCATGGCAGAAAGTAAAAATTAGAAGAAAAAAGACAACAGGAACGAACGAGGATCTGTATTAGACCGACTACTAACAACTTAGCAACGATTATCCAGATTATTAAACATTATTTCTGCTTTCATAACAGCAACAACAAAAAGTTTAACAAACATTTTTATAGCCTAATTAAAGGAATATCACTCAACTTTAACTAAAACTGATTTCTTCAATTACAAGCGGCGAACTTATTCTTCGAGTATACTAAGCGGATGCTAATAGAAATAGTTTCTGAGCTAAGATAGTAGTATCAACTGCTATGACCTAATCTAATCCATGAAATGAGCTACAATCTTCTTTTTTTCAATATAGTCAAGGCCGAACTAATGATAGTCTTCAAAATTCATCACCTTATCTAAAATGCAGTGTCAAGTTCGACATCTAGTGCAAAACTTGATATATATTTTGTTTGGAACTATACTGTATATATTATAAAAGGCTGTCAATTTAACAACAATTGGTGAGATTGAACATAGAAATGAGCATGAATATGGTAAATTAGCAACAGAGCAGATTAATATAATCTCACATACAAATTGTTGAGAGCAATTTGCATTATTTTCCCTGTTTGGATGATATTTTTAAGGACATTTTTCGTATCTGAGTGACAGTACTTCTCTTTTTCAACATCTAATAAAATAAATAGCATTAATCCCAGCTTATGTTTCCGGTTCATCTCATATAAAACAACTTGTCTCCGATCAAATGGCCGAATCACTAAGAAACCAATCTTAAAGTTCCTACGAATGTGGAATTTTTATCAAATAAAATATAATTCAAACTCTAATCTATTGTGTTGTTTAAAATTTGTTAAAAATGAGAGTGCAACACTCTTCATGAAGTATTGTATATGTGCTGAGACCTGAAGTTTTGAAAATCTAAATACTTGCCACTAAACACTT